CCATCACCAAGAACAGTGTCTGGCACTCAATCAGTGCTCAGTAAAGGCCAGTTCGTTCATTCATTCATTCAGTCAATGGGCAAATATCTCCTGAGGACTCGGGTGGGCCAGCTCCTGCAGTGGGCAGACTGGATCCAGAGGAGGATCAGACCAGGGCCCGTGCTCAGGGCCTGGGGGAGACGTCACAGACTGAATGGGCCACAATGTGGAGTGGGATGCGCCTAATGCGTTGCTTAGCACTCTTCCCCCCATTCACTCCCTCGAAAGCTCACCTCAGGGTTGGAGGGACTGGAGAGGTGGCAGCCCAGCCCCTGCCCTCGGGAGCTCCAGGCAGATAAGTCCCCCCTCTCCTCCCCGCTGTCAGGCCGGGACCACACCCTCAGGCTGCACCCAGCTTCAACCTTTCTTATCTGCAGAATTTGCCCTTCCTGGCCCTCTGCTGAGCCTGCCCTTCATCTCCTTCTAGATCTCCTCTCTGAACTCCACTGTGCTCTTCAGATCTTCCTCACCTGCTCATTGCTGAGCAGTACTTCTTCCCTCATCCCTTCTCTTCCCTCCCTCCTGCTTGAAACCCTCCAGTGCTCTCAGGACGAGCTCTCTGCCCCACTCCCCAGATCCTAGGCTTAGCTCAGAGTCTCGACTGGGACCCAGGACCTTTGCACTTGCTGGCCCTATGCCTTCCCAGTTCTCCACTTCCCTGGGCCTGCCTAACTGCTGCACAGTCTGAGCAAGGTATCAGCCCCATTCCCTCAACTTTGAGGCCCTCTCCCTCACGGGACCTAGGACAGGTACAATATTTTTCCACTTAAAAAATTAAAATATAGCCAAACCGGTTTGGCTCAGTGGATAGAGTGTCGACCTGCGGACTCAAAGGTCCCAGGTTCAATTCCGGTCAAGGGCATGTACCTTGGTTGCGGGCACATCCCCAGTGGGAGATGTGCAGGAGGCGGCTGATCGATGTTTCTCCCTCATAGATGTTTCTAACTCTCTATCTCTCTTCCTTCCTCTCTGTAAAAAATCAATAAAATATATTTAAAAAAAAAATTAAGATATAGCCCTGGCCAGGTGGCTCGGTTAGTTGGAGCACTGTTCTGGACACCAAAAGGTTGAGGGTTCAATCCGTGGTCAGGATGAATACAAGAGGCATGGACTGATGTTTCTCTCTCTCTCTCCCTCTTCCCTCTCTAAAATCAACTTTAAAAGAAGAAACATGTATCCTCGGTTGTGGATTAAAAGGGGAAAAATTAAGATATAATTCACATACCCTAAAGGTCACCGCTTTATTTTATTTTTTAATGTATTTTTATTGATTTCAGAGAAGAAGGGAGAGGGAGAGAGAGAATCATTGATCGGCTGCCTCCTGCAACCCGGGCATGTGCCCTTGACTGGAATTGAACCCTGGGCCCCTCAGTCCGCAGGCTGATGCTCTAGCCACTGAACCAAGCCGGCGAGGGAAGCTCACCACTTTTAAAGTGTGCAATTCAGTGGTCTTTCGCGTATCCACAATGTTGTGCAACCATCAGCACCATCAAATTCCAGAAGGTTTTCCTCACCCCAAAAGGAAATCCTGTACTCATTAGCAGTCGCTCCACATTCCACGATCCTCAGCCCCAGGCAACCACTAATCTGCTTTCTGTCTCTATGGACTTGCCTGTTCTGGACAGTTCAGATACATGGGATCCCACACTTCTGTGTATATGGCTTCTTTCACTTAGAAGGTGCACCCATGTTGTAGCACCTATCAGTACGTCATCCTTTTTACCGGCTAAATAATATTCCATTGCATGGGCGGTGGGCGGAACATTTGTTTATCATCTGTCCATGGACATTTGGGTTGCTTATTTCCACTTTTTGGCTATTGTGAATGACGCTGCTATAAACATCTGTATATAACTTATTTGTGTGTGTGACAAGAACAGCTGCATTTTTTAGGCAGTACCTGTCTCCTTAACAGGGGCACAGACAAGTCTGTCCTACTCACCAATGTCCCCAGCACCCCTGATAAGGCTTGAAACACACCAGCCACTCAACACATATTTGAGAAAAGGAAGGACAAGAGGAAGCCCCAATGCATTTGGTGAAATTACCTCCAGTGCCCCCAAGTTGGACCTCCCCTTTGCCCTCTGGCTTCCCTCTCAGGTCCTGCAGTGACACTGGCCTGGTTTCTCTTTCCTGCTCCACCACCATGATTCATTCAATCCCTTTGCAAATCCTTCACAACTGATCCCAGACCTAACTATTTCCCCGCATTTCCTTCTCACCCCAGTCAAGCCAACACCATCTCGCACCCGGACGCCTGCAACAGCCCCCTAGTTCTTTCCCTGCTTCCACGCACACCTCCTCCAGTCTGTGCTCTCCACGGAGGCCAAAGGAATGACTTTAAAACATCAATAGGCCCGGCCGACGTGGCTCAGTGGTTGAGCGTTGACCTATGACCCAGGAGGTCACGGTTGATTCCTGGTCTGGGCACGTGCCTGGGTTGTGGGCTCGATCCCCAGTGTGGGGCATGCAGGAGGCAGCTGATCAATGATTCTCTCTCATCACTGATGTGTCTATCTCTGCCTTCCTCTCTGAAATCAATAAAACTATATATTTTTAAAAGGAATTCTTATAAATAAAATATCCATCAGCTCATGTCCCTCCTGTACTCAAAACCTGCCGCCGCTCTCGTTTCACTCAGAGAAAGGCCAAAGTGCTCGTTGACCCACAAAGCCCTACACATTCCTGTCCCCTCTCTGCCCTCAGCTCCCACCCTCGGCTCCCGCCACACAGGCCCCCGCACGCTGAAGTGAACACACACTGAGCGTGCGCAACCTCAGGACCTTTGCATGCACGCTTCCCTTGCCTAGACCCCTCTTTCCTCCAAAACCACAGAGCTCACTCCCTCACCTCACTCCGTCTCCACTCAGATGACTTCAGGGAGCCATCTTGGTGAGGCCTTCACCAAGCTCCCTCTCCTCCTGGTCCCCCCTTCCTTATATTTCTTCACAGTGTGACATTGTGTCATTTATTGCCAGTTATCGGTGTTTATTTTCTATCTCCCTCCTGCCATGGTGCCCCCGAAGGCAGGGATTTTTGCTCATGCTGTAGCCCCAGTCCCTGGAACAGTCTGGCACACCAGTGAGCTAAAGTACTTGTCAATTGAATGAATGAACCTTCCAAGGTAAGATGCTGTTATGCCTGGGTTTGCAGACAAGAAAACTGAGCATCGGAGAGGTTAAGTGACTTGCCAAGGGTCACATGGCTAGTAGGTATCAGAGGCATTGCAGGCACACTTGCTTCTTTTTTAAAAAAAATATATTTCTTTATTGATTTCAGAGAGGAAGGGAGAAGGAGAGAAAGATAGAAACATCAATGATGAGAATCATTGATCAGCTGCCTCCTGCATACCCCCTACTGGGGATCAAGCCTGCAACCCAGGCATGTGCCCTTGGCCGGAATCGATCCTGGGGCCCTTCAGTCCACAGGCCCACCCTCTATCCACTGAGCCAAGCTGGCTAGGGCAAGGCACACCTGCTTCTAACAGCTGGCCCCGGACGGAGTTCACCAACCCCTCATAGCTCCACCCCTTTTCATAACAACCACAACATCTCTCCTCCACCTGATGCCAACAGTTCCCACCCCTCCTTTTCACCAGATCTAACGCATCCTAGACCCTTCCATACCTACTAAACCCTAAACCAATCCCTGGGCACCTGACAGGGGCCACTGCTCCAGACCCAGCAAAACAAGAACAAGAGCCAAAGACCTGTCTCGTGCCTGGAATGCGGGAAAGGCCCTGTCTATGTACATCATCACAACACTCTCATCAGCAAAGTGGGGACAGCCTTATCCCTCCTGGCAGATAAGGAAACAGAAGTGAGGTCCCTCACTCAAGGTCACCCGGCTGGGCGGTGACAGCCCTCGGACCCAGGTCCGGCCGGCCCCAAGGCCACGCGGATAGAGTCCGGGAAGCTCCTGACAGCTCCCCAAGCACCAACACCTGCTGCGAGGAGTTGGGAGCTGACCTGGCACCAGGCCTCCCATCACCGCGACAGTCCTTCCTGCTGGCGACGGCTGTCCCCATATTGCCGTGGTCAGGCTCCAGATTCCAGACTGTCCGCCTCCCTGAATCCTGAGCCCAGGCCCCCCGCCCCCCCCAGCTCTTCAGACCTCTTCCCCACAAATCCCTAAGGCCCCCTGGCTCTCTCCCCTTTCTGGAACATCCCCTGGGCCCGCACCTGACAGTGTCCTCTCCTTCCCAGGCCCACAGCTCCCTGTCGCCGGTCCTCTCCCAAGCCTCTCCACGGGCAATGTCTCCCCTGGGTGCCCTCTGAGTCCCTCCTTTCCCCTCAGTAACCCTCCAAGCCCCTTCTCCACTGCCCTCCATCCTCCTGAGCAAGCCTCCATCCTGGAGCCCCTCGACCCTGCCCCAGGGTCCCGCCACAGTCCTCCCCCTTCCCATCTCTCCTCCCCAAGCCCCTAGGACTCTCTGTCCCTCCCGGGCGCTCTCTGTGCCCTGGCCAAGAGCCTCGGTGACCTATCTAGCCCCTTCCCTCTATGACACCCTCTCACCCAGGCCCTCGAGCACGGCCCCATTGGGCTTCCAGGGTTTGACGTCCTCCCAGTCCCTTCTGGCCTCCCTCCCCCCCACTCGATCGCTCCACGGGGTACCCCCGACACACACCCATGCACCGCCTTCCCTTTCTATCTGCATCAGGGATCCCAGTCTAATAGGACCCCCAAGCCCATCATTCCCGGGGACAGCTCTATGCTCCCATCCTCGGAACCTTACTAACCTCCTCACCTTTAAGACCCTCTCGGGCGTCTCTTAACCACCCCGTGTAGTCACCTCAAGAGGCACCCTAAGCCCCTTCACTCCCCCACCTTGAAGTTCCCCCGGGGCCCTATCTACCCTCTCCCTCCACGACCGCCATGGTTTTCTACCCCCCTGGCAAGGTAACCCCCAACCCCGCAATTCATCGCTCCCCGCCTCCAGGATCCCCCGGCCGCACGCTCACAGTTCCGGATGTCGGAGATGAACACCGCGAGCCCCCGCATCCCATCGCCCTTGGATACGGCCGGCATGATGGCGGTGGTGTCGGCTCCAGGCCTGGCCCGGCTGGGCACGGCGCAGCGGGGGCAAGCAGGCGGGACCGGGAGGAAAAGGACCCCAGGCAACGCCAACGAGCGGAGCCGGCCGCCGCGGGGGGGAGGACGGGCTGGCGGGCGGGCGGGCGGGCTGGAAGGCCGCAGCACCGCCCCCAGCCCCTCCCCTCTCCTCGGCCGCCTGAGACTTCACCGCCCATTGGCTCACGTTACTGCCGCTCACACGCGGGCTCTCCCTCGCTCCCTCGCTCATTGGCCTCAGCACAAAGGCACGCCGCTGCGATTGGTCCTGCGCCCCGCTATTTCCGTTTGGGAGGAGGCGTTGCCCAAGAGACGGGCGGAGTTCGATTACGTACGGTGGGACCGCCCCCTCCGCGCGGCCGGGTCCGGCAGTGATTGGATCAGGACGCTCTCCCGTCAGCGAGGGATTGACGTGAAGGAAGGCGGGGGAGCGGGCTCGAGGAGGTGAGACTTGCGTCGGCTGAGGCCAATGGGCGAGGAGATCGCCCCCGAAGGCATCGCGGATTCGCCGTGCCCGTCCTAGTCCCGCCCCCGAGTGGGCGGTTATATGGGCGGGAGGCGGGCGAGGAAAGGTGGCTAAGGGAGGGTGTCGCTCGGCTGGGCTGGGATAGGTGGAGCGCCGCCTGCAATTCCCTGCTGCAGAGAAGGATGTGGGAGGGACGAGAAAGCGTGAGGTGTTTACTGCGCAAGCGTCTGTCTGTTCCCCTTTCTCCCTAATCTCCTCCACCCACGACTCCTTCAATCTTCTTCCAAGAAGTGGTCCCTGTCCCCGCCTCCTCCCCTGTCTGGCGGCCGAGAAGTCCCGACCTAACTTCGTGAGACCCAGAATCCCAGGGCCGAGGAAACAGTCATTCATATCCAGTGGTTCTCAACCTTCTGGCCCTTTCAATACAGTTCCTCATGTTTTTACCCTCAACCATAAAATTATTTTCGTTGCTACTTCATCACTGTAATGTTGCTACTGTGATGAATCGTCATGTAAATATCTGATATGCAGGATGGTCTTAGGCGACCCCAGTGAAAGGGTCCTTCCACCGCCAAAGGGGTCGCGACCCACAGGTTGAGAACCGCTGCATTAAGCAGAAGCGAAAACTAGGGTCCAGAGAGGTTAACTGTCTTGCCCAAGGTCACACAGCCAGAAAGGGTCAGCCAGATTTACAGTATATTTTGGCTTTTCATCACTTTTCAATATACAATGCCTTTTTTTTTTTTTTTTTTTTTTTTGCAAATCCTAACGCCATTATACAGATAGCAAGTCAAAATTGTGAGTCTCCTCCTCCTCCTCCAGCCTTAGAGCTCCTCAGCACGAATGGGACCTGAGCCCTAACCGGTTTGGCTCAGTGGATAGAGCGTCGGCCTGTGGACTGAAGGGCCCCAGGTTCGATTCTGGTCAAGGGCATGTACCTTGGTTGCGGGCACATCCCTAATGGGGAGTGTGCAGGAGGCAGCTGATCCATGTCTCTCTCTTATTGATGTTTCTAACTCCCTATCCCTCTCCCTTCCTCTCTGTAAAAAAAATTAATAAAAATATATTTGAAAAAAAAAAGAGCTGAAACCGGTTTGGCTCAGTGGATAGAGCGTCGGCCTGCGAACTGAAAGGTCCCAGGTTCGATTCCGGTCAAGGGCATGTACCTGGGTTGCAGGCACATCCCCCGTGGGAGATGTGCAGGAGGCAGCTGATCGATGTTTCTCTGTCATCGATGTTTCTAACTCTCTATCTCTCTCCCTTCCTCTCTGTAAAAAAATTAATAAAAATATATTTGAAAAGAAAAAAGAAAAAAGAATGGGACCTGGTACTGAACAACGCTGATTAAAAGGAAGGAATAGGGGGATCTGTTGTGTTGGGTCCCGGGGACCCGCTTTGGGGAAGGCAAGGCCTCCGGAACGGGACCGCCCCGGGGCCATTGAGAAATTTGGGGCAAAGGGTACGGGAAGAGTCCACGTCTGTCGCCACAGGATGTAAACCCCACCCACCATCCTTTTCTAATCTCCGAAGCCTGGTATTCTTGGAATGAGCCTTTGGGGGAGTGTCCTCGTTCCTGGGAACCTCCCATTATGGGTTCTAGGAAGACGGACGTGGCTCAGCTGCTTTAGTAACCAAGAGAGACCGTTCCTAACAATGGTTGGAGGGAGACCCGCACCATTAAAAACAGTAACAACAACAAGAGTTAGGACCTTGAGTTGGAAAGAGTCCTTTTCTTATTTTTATTTTTTTAATCCTCACTGGAAGATATTTTCCCCATTGATCTTTAGAGAGAGAGCGGAAGGGAGGGAGGAAAACACCGAGAGAGACATTGAACGCGGGGCCAGGGATCGAACCCGCAACCCAGGTGTGACCCTTCAGTCTGCGGGGCCCGCTCTCTAACCACTGAGCTAACCAGCCAGGGTGGAAAGAGAGTCCTTTTTATGAAAGATACAGTAAGCATCTCAAGGACGGGAGGAGTCCATTCCTGACACGGAAGAAAGCCCTTTCTCCCTGAGGACAGCACCATTTTTTTAAAAAAATTATTAGTGGAGTTTGAGTTGTTCGCTTTATGAGGGACGTGAAGGGAGGCATCCAGATCCCAAGAACAGGAAAGTGGGGGAGCCACCCCTTCCCCAGCTCCACTCTCCACCTGCCTCTCACCCACCTCTTCCCACCCTTTGCCCAGAGCCTCTGGGGTTTGGGGGTGGGTTGATGGGTCGATGGGTCGATGGGGAAACTCCGTCCTCTCCCAACCCCCTCCAGAGCCCTTGAAGTAGCCAAATTTAATTTGTAAGACAGGGCCTAAGGCAAAGGCATTCTGAGGTCTAACCGGGAACCAGATTAAGGAGGACTTCACCTGGAAGACCTGGGACTGTGTGACCCTGTGTGGGGGCGGACATGGCGCCACCGGCAGGAGCTGGTGGGTGGACTTTACCCCAGTTGGATTCGAGCGGCGCCTGCTGATAGAAATACAGTGGGATGAAGGATTTGTATGCATGCATATAAGCATAACCAATGGACATAAGACACTGGGGGGTAGGGGAGGCCAGGGGATTGTCAACGGCGGGAAAAAAGGAGACATATGTAATACTCTTTGTAATACTTTAAACAATAAAACAATTTAATAAAAAATAAAAACAAAAAAATAAAAAATATTTTTAATATTTTTATATTTTTATTGATTTCAGTCAATTTCCAATTGATTCCAGCAACATTTTTAAAGAAGGTGAAGCCCTGGCCGGTGTGGCTCAGTTGGTTGAGCGTCGCCCCATGCACCGGAAGGTCCCTGGTTGGATCCCAGGGAGGTCCCATGCCCTGGTTACCTGTTCGATCCCCAGTAGGGGGCATGCAGCAGGCAGCCCATCAGTGTGTATTCCATGGATGTTTCTCTCTGTCCCTTCCTCTCTCTGAAAAAAATCAATAAAAACATATTTAAAAAACATATGTTTCAGCCAGGCTAAAAACATATTTTTCTAAAGTAAAAGCAAAGGTGAGCCCTGGCCGGTGTGGCTCAATTGGCTGAGAAACGACCCATGAACCAGGAAGTCGCCAGTTCGATTCCCAGTCAGGGCACATATAGGGGTTGGGAGCTCTATCCCCGGGGGAGGGGGGGCGGGGGGCATGCAGGAGGCAGCCAATGGATGTTTCTCCCTCATGAATGTTTCTATTTTTCTATCCCTCTCCCTTTCTCTCTCTCTAAAATCAATAACAACATAATTTTTTTATTATTTTTTAAAATACATTTCTGTTGATTTCAGAGAGGAAGGGAGAGGGAGATAGAAACATCAATGGGAGGGAATCATGGCTCCGCTGCCTCCTGCACGCCCCCTACTGGGGATCGGGCCCAAAACCCAGGCATGTGCCCTTGACCGGAATCAAACCCGGGACCCTTGAGTCTGAAGGTCGGTGCTCTATCCACTGAGCCAAACCAGCTGGGACACAAACATATTTTTTTTAAAATATATTTTATTGATTTTTTACAGAGAGGAAGGGAGAGAGATAGAGTTTTTACAGAGAGGAAGGGAGAGAGATAGAGAGTTAGAAACATTGATGAGAGAGAAACATCAATCAGCTGCCTCCTGCACATCTCCTACTGGGGATGTGCCCGCAACCCAGGTACATGCCCTTGACCGGAATCGAACCTGGGACCCACCAGCCCCGGCAAACATATTTTTTTTAAGAAAAGAAACAGAAGGTGAAATAAATTTTAATAACATTTTATTTAACCCCATGTGCCCAAATATGCCCATTTCCACATATTTGGCATTCTTATTTTTCTGTCTTTAAAAGTCAGGGTTTTTTATTTATACCACATCTTAGTTGTTCGCCACATTGCAAGGGTTCAGTAGCCATGAGCCATTAAATCTGGCTGCGACAGCATAAAATTACAGGACTGGATTTGAGCAAGACCATTCTGGGGCTCAGGGGCTGGCCCATTGCTAAGTTTTAAGACCAGGAAATGAACAAGTCCACGTTTGGGGGTCTAACTGAGGTTTGGGCAAGTCCTTTCTGGGTGTAAGACAGAGCATTAAGAGGGGACCCCAGGAGCCCCTAAGGCAGCGGTTCTCAACCTTCCTAATGCCTCGACCCTTTAATACAGTTCCTCATGTTGTGGTGACCCCCAATTTCATTGTTACAAATTGAACATAATTAAGGCATAGTGATTAATCACAAAAACAATATGTAGCCGAAACCGGTTTGGCTCAGTGGATAGAGCGTCTGCCTGTGGACTGAAAGGTCCCAGGTTCAATTCCGGTCAAGGGCATGTACCTGGGTTGCAGGCACATCCCGGGTAGGAGATGTGCAGGAGGAAGCTGATCGATGGTTCTCTCTCATCGATGTTTCTGACTCTCTATCTCTCTCTCTTCCTCTCTGTAAAAAATCAATAAAATATATTAATAAAAATAAAAAATTTTTTAAAAAAAACAAAAAACAATATGTAATTATATATGTGTTTTCCGATGGTCTTAGGCGACCCCTGTGAAAGGGTCGTTCGACCCCCAAAGGGGTCGGGACCCACAGGTTGAGAACCGCTGTTCTAAGACTTTGACCTGAGCAGATCAACTCTTGATTTTCTCCAGAAAAAACAAAACAAAAACAACACACAAAAAAAACCTGGATTCACCCCGTTTTCCC